ATGCACCAATTTTGGATCCACCATTTAAGTTCAATTTTACAATTTCTGCTATAGAAGCAAATTTGTGTCTTTAAAAATAAAAAAAATATTGTACTCTAGAATTCACCACTTTTTATTGTCAGCATTTGAATAGGTTTTGCCCCCAGTAGGTTACTCTTCCTAGAGCAGTGGTTCTCAACCTATGGGTTGGAACCCCTTTGGGGATCGAATGACTCTATTACAGGGGTCACCTAAGACCATCAGAAAACACATATTTTTGAAAAAATACGGAAATAGTTGGGATCACCACAACATGAGGAACTGTATTAAAGGGTCGTGGCATTAGGAAGGTTGAGACCCATTGACCTAGAGTAACAGACCCAGACCTAGAGAAGAATCATTGCTTTTACAGTAGCTGTCTCATTAGTTAAATACAAAGAATTATTCTTTCAGAAAAATACATAGCTGCAACTCAGGGCGTCTATCAACGATGATTTTGGAAGGTACTGGAATAAATGAAGCCAAGCCAAAGATAGACTAGCGTTACAGAAATGCTTTCTTTTGGATGGGGGGAGGGGAAGATTTATCGTATACTGTGTTACTTGATAACTAAGTGGAAAGTGTTTCAGAGTATTTGGCTATTGTTGACTGAAAAAGAAACTCTCATAATTGCTTGTTGGTGGATATTTGCAAGCTGACAACTCATACTGGTCCAAGCTACTTCTTGTTTTGTAAATTCAGCTGTGCATGCTTGATGTTTTTTCAAGGTCAAAAGTTTTTTTTCTTTTTTCCTTTTTCCTTATTTCACTACATTGCCAGTATATTCTCAATAAAAATTCAAGTTATATTTATTTTTTATTAAAGTAATAGTTTGTTATTTCACAATACTCCACTTTCTAAAATAACAATTTCATTAAAAAGTTCTAATGCATTTAACTCTCTTTTCCTGTTCTTTCCCTTTCCCCTTTTGATTATAGTAAAACCAATATTAATACCTAAAATATAGTATAATCTTAAATATAACAGCAGCATACATACATTTTGTCTTGTTAGTTGCCTTCCCACAAAGTATTTTTTCTGTTGAGTGCTATTTCTAAGAAACACGTTGTCAGTGAAAAAAACTACTCGAAGAATTTTGAATGTCTTACAATTTAGCTAAAATGTCAAGTTAATCCAGAAATTTATGATTGGAACTATATATGTATAACTGTATTATATCTACAGTTGATCCTTCATACTTTTCTCGGTTCTCAGTTAAACAATCAGCAACTGTTCAAAGTTGCAATGGCACCAAATGAGTGATGCTCAAAGTTCCAACTGTCACATCATTCTTTTAGTCATTTGTTTGTGATTCAGGCACTTGGCAACCACCTCACACTTATGTGGTTGAAGCAGTGGGTGGTCACCTGATCCAAGTCAATGGGTAAGACAGAAGGGAAGGTTGCAAGCTGGTCCCATAAATTACCTCTGCTATCTTTTTTTCTAAGGAGCTCGCTACAGAGTACGAGATTAGTTGCATCTGCCACACAGCACACTCCCCACCTGCAATCTGTAGAACATGCACATCTGTCCAATATTTGCAGAGCACTAGAACAGCACTTTCCTTTTGTGGCTGCATTCATTAGCACTCACCCATCTGTTGGCCTGCTTGCAGGCTGCACAGAGCCTATGACTTCATTCTGGCTTCCCCATTGACTGCTTGTTGTAAGACAGCAGTTTTCCAAGATCACAAGTCATGGTCACATGAGGTCCTCACTTAATAACCTGCAAACTTTGCTTAATTATAACAAGGATTACTAAGATTTACCTTCATTAAGTCATGTAGCCATGTGACATCGCGCATGATAACCAACATCACTTCCTGTTGGAAATTCCAGTCCCAATTACCTTTGTAACTTGAGCACTACCTGTGTCCTTGAGGTAGGGGCAGGCCTGCTCTTTCTAAATCTGCTTGCCCCCACAATATACTTCTTGATGTGCTACCAAAACGAGGCCAGTAAAGCTGCTGTCCTCAGATGGAATCAGCACTACACTTGTAGGTGACTGCTGCCTGTAAATTCAGAGATAAGAGCAAGTGCAGGGAACAGAAGCCGGGAGGGAGGATAAAGGACGCCTGTCTCCTTAGGAGTTTTTTCTATTCTACAGAGGCTTCTAGTTGTTCTGCTCCCACTATTTTTTCTATTCTGTAGCAAGCACAGAACTTTTCCAAGCCAAGAAAAAACAACCTAAAACACCCTTTGGTCGCTTGGGTGGGCTCTCTCTAGCAAAAAAGCCCAAGAGATCCTAGAGCCTCAGAGCCTCGTGGCTAGAGAATGAATGGTCTTGCATCAGGGCATTTTGAAACCTGCTGGTCACTGATCTCCCTCAGCGTCTGGATCAGAATGTTGGTAAAGGGGATTGTGTTGCGTTTTCTAACAGAAAACTCCATTTGCCTGTCAGATCAACTTGATTTAGCTTTAGCCTGCCTCACTGGAACAGAATCAGATAGAAACTCCATGTGATGACATGTCCTGAACAAATTTTTAACAGGTCTTCATGTCCTGAGAGCAAGGAGGATGTCTTAATAACACCATTAAGCAAATAACTGTTTGTCATAGATAGTTGACAAAATTGTTGCAAGTTATTTATGTCTCTTCTGCAATAACAAGTCAAGTGTTCTGTCTTTTAAACCAAGAGAGTGGTGCTTTAAAGCAAAATCTTGTTTCCTTCAGCTATTTCAGGCTTGTTGAAATTAACTCACAAGATTGGTTTAGTCTTACTCTGTAGTCCTATTTTAGCCAACATTGGTAAGATTGTTAACATTAATTTGGATGTATCACTATTTATTCAGGATAACTAAATTTGTCTTAGAATTGTGCATTTTGGGATCCTGTGATCTGGCTAAAAATATTATACAATACTTGCAGTGGAAAACTATAGCTGACTTTCAGCAATTTTATTTATTGTCTTATCAATATTTGGCAGAGGAGCAATTGTAAATTTTAAAGAAATACAATAAAAGTTTTTTAAAATTCTATTTGTATAAGAAGATTTCCGAGCATCTGGGTTGCAAACCCTCGTGTACTATAAGACCATCTTTTTACAGACAGAATTGCAGTAGAGTATAAGAAAAAGGATTATGAAGAAGGAAAAAGTAGCACGAATGCACAAGGGACTTAAACATTAGGCTAGAGAGGAAAGAGAAAATGGGCTGTGGTTGTTATCACACTCTGTCTGCATGGGAGGAAAGAGTGAAAAAATAGTTTAGTTTTTTGCAAGCTGCAGGCATTTTGAAGCAGGTTTTTTACTTCTCTTTTTTTCCCCTTTGATTTCAGTGAATAAGAATGGCTATGTACAAAATAAGACCCAAATTTCAGGAATTATGCAAAAGCAAGCAAGAACACTCTATTACAAATGGTGTTTCAAATTTTAAGTATTTTTGCTTATTTCCAATAAAACAGATTTATAAAGTTATAAAGTTTTATCATTAGTTTGTTTGATATTTTGATTAAAATATGATTATTAAAAATAACAGTTTTTTTATCCTATGCTAACTACAGTGAAATCATACTGTAATATTGATTCATTTTATCGTTTCAGAGAATATGTATCATTTTAGATGAGAACCTGTCTTTGTAATGTAATTTACAGGATACTTTTTTCTTATACCTTCTTTTTCCTTTCTTTTATTTTTTTTTAATTTATGATGATTTTTAATCAGAAGTTAAATTTTATTTACAGTTTAGCATACTATGTTTCATTTTAAAAACATTTTTGTTTTATATGTCATGGCAAAGCCAAAAGTATAGAAGCTTTTTTAAGTATTTGCATTTTTTGTTTAAAGCAGCTATATGATCTCATCTACAAGTTTTAAATAAAATAGTTCTTTATGTTAGAGGCTAGGACCTTGATGGCGAACCTATGGCATGTGTGCCGAAAGTGGCACGCAGAGCCATCTCTCCAGGCAAGCGAGCCATAACCCATTGCTCTTCTGGGTTCTGGTGCACTGACCAGCTGGTCTTCATTCATGCCGGAGCATCGGAAACCTGAAGAGCAGCTGCCCAGTGCACATGCCAGGAAAATGATCTTCTGGTTTCCAGGGCGCACATGCCACGTGGTCTTCTGGTTTCTGGCACACATGTGCACACAAAGACCAGGTGGCTGCTGCGCATGTGCACCCCAGAAACCGGAATATCATCTTCCCGGTATGCATATGTGAAACCCCATGCACGCCCCATGCATGCATATACAACCTCCACATGGGTGCATGCGTGCATGTCTCCCATATGTGCCCTGCCCTCTGTGCATGCGTGGCAGAGACCTGAAAATTGGATGTTCACCTTAATCAGTGTTTCTGTTTCTATAAGCAAACAAACTCATTGGTGTAGAACTTTGGATACAGAAGCTTTCAGCATACCCTTATGAACTTTACTAGCTGCAAATTCCCATTTTATAAATTGTTCCATAGCAGAGGAAAGTGAATAACGAGAATATATGAACTGGCACATTAAGAATTTGCCCAAATAATTTCTAACAAATGAGCAAGGGATTTTTACTAAAGGGGCAACATTCTGTAATTCACCCATGTTTTTTTAAAATAAATGTATTCATCTTTGATGAAAAGTACAAATGAAAGCATTGTTTCAAATAACATTCTTCATTATGCATCACAGAATTCAGATATCCTAATTTTAAAAAATTTGTACAATAGATTGTTTCTTCTTAGAGCATAGCCTTTTGTAATTCAATGAAGCACTAAATGATTTTTATTTTCATGTAGTATAGCCAGATATATGTCAAGAATTTTCAGTTGTAACTGATAGAAGGCATTACTTCAGCATGTAATTTCATTTTGCTGTAACTTTACTAATCTTTGAGGATTGGTTGAATATTAACTTCAAAGGAACAGTAAAACATTTTCAAGCTATTTAAAATGCATAATAAGTTTGAAAATATAGTTTTATTCTTTTGGGTCTGTTCAGCTATTGATCTAATGAATTGCTTCTATGGAATTTTATTTATTTATTTGTTCTTCTTTTTAGGTCAAGCAAATAAAATAGCTAAGGAAGCAACCAACAGATGGACTGGTGTGTCTGCATTATATTATTTTACAGCATTCATTCTTTTGTGAACAAAAATAAATACACGGAAAAATACAAGCTTTAACTTAAGATTGTAATTATTATTATTTACATAAAATTGATTTATTTTTGAGGCAACAGATTGCTGAAAACTCATTAAATAACTATTACTGGTGAAGTTTGCCATTACTTGTAATATAATTTTTGTGATTTCTGATTCATACGTTTTAATATTTTTGTTTGTTCTTATACATTTTTGCTAGGTATCACTTATTATTTGGGTATTAAGCATTTTACACACATACACACACTCAGTGTGACAATCTTCAAGTAATCTGCAAATAATTTTGGTTGGTAGAAACTAACCAAATATTTGAATGAAAAGCAGTAAAATGTGTAAATTAATTTGAAGTTACTTATTTGAAGGATTAGAGTGCACAGTAGTATATGATTCATGGTAATCATACAAAGCAGCTGACACAATAAATTGGCTTGCTCATTGTAAGATTATTGTGAATGTTGATATGAATGGTATATAATTTTACATTGTAATTACAATTTCATCACATCATATTAAATCATATTCCACATTGGGACAGTTTTCCAGGAACAGTCATGTGTAATCAAGTCCAAAATTATTGGTACTTAATCATGTTTCAGCATCATCAATTTTATCACTGAGAAGTAAATTTGCATATGTTACCTAAAATGAATCAATAAAACTGCATAAATAAAAAGAATTGTCTTCTATATGAAATTTCTAGTTCATTGAAATAGTTTTTAGAGACTCTTCTGCAGAAGTTTAGAAGTAGCCAGCTGGGAAAGACGCTTTTTGATTATAGAATTGCCATTTACTAGGTAGTCTTCGACTTATGACCATAAATGAACCCCAAATTTTTGTTGCTAAGGAGTTTTGCCCCATTTTACAACCTTTCTTGCCACAGTTGTTAAGTAAATCATTGCAGTTCTTAAGTTAGTAATACAGTTGTTACGTACTAAATTTTGCTTCCCCATTGACTTTGTTAGAAGGTGATCATATGATTCCAGGAACACTGCAATCATCATAAATATGAGTCAGTTGCTAAGCATCTGAATTTTGATCATGTAACCATGGGGATGCTTCAACTGTTGTGTTTTTTCAGTGCCATTGTAACTTCGAACAGTTACTAAATGAATTGTTCTAAGGTGAGGACTACTTGTATTTAGGATTGCATTTGGCAATTTTTTATTTTTCAAGACTTTATTTTAAAGTCTTGAAAAGCTTAAAGGTTTATTTTTATTTTAACAATTTTTTCCCTATAGTGTGAATTTATTCTTTTGAATTTTCTATTTCAATTGCTAGTAACTGAAGGATAAAAAAAATAACATTGTTTGCAAGCAAACAGAATACTTGATTTCTTTCCTTGTGATTTTCCATCTCTTTGTAACAGTTTAGTATCAATTGTCATGTGGGTAACTCCTGTTGTAAAATTAACTTATACTAAATTAGAAAAAATGTGTGCTAAATATATTATTTATGTCGTCATATACTTACTTATTCACTTCATGACATATGCACCCCTATTTTATTGTACTCTTTCTCAAAAACCTTTCTCCCTCACTGCTTTGACCAGTTCTTTTGAACAGTCAAGCTTTAATAAGTGCAATTCTTTCAAAGTTATAATCAGTTTTATAATTTTTGTATCTGTTTGATACTAAATTGGATGCAAGATACCTTGCAGGAAATACTGTGACACTTAAATCAACAGGAAAAATCAAATCAAGGTTAGCATTATAAAATCTAGAGGCTCATAATTTTATTCTATTGGGTTGTCGGCAAATAGATTAGTATTTCAGTCTTCTATTTCAGCGTAGAGAGAGGGAAGGATTAGTGTCTTTTTTAAAATTCCTGAATTTTGGTTAAAATCTAGATAAGAGTCTAAATAAACAGGAAGAAAAACTGGTGCTTGCCAGTGTAGAAACCCCCAGAGACATAACTTTTCAATCACATATAACTCCTCAGGTAAAGTGTGTACGTCAAGTTCTAAGCTCAGTAGATTTTGTGCTGAACTGTTCGCCCTGTGCCTATGGCGCAATCAGTTGCCTTTTGGATAATTATTACTGCTGAAGTCTCATACACAGAAAGGGATTTCAGTGTAGTTCTTAGCCTCATCTCTACATGAGAATTGGAAATCACAAAATAATCACTGTTAGACGTTGCAACCAAATAGGTGATTTATGTCTGAGGAAGGGCCTCAGAATAACAATTTGTAGATCTGTTAATTATCTTTAAGCACTAAGGGTCTTTTATTATGATTATCATTACAAACACTTGAAGCCCTAATATCCATTGTTTTTCATTTACCTTATTTACAGATAATATATTTGCTGTAAAATCTTGGGCTAAACGGAAGTTTGGATTTGAAGACAACAAAATTGACAAAACATTTGGTATACCAGAAGATTTTGACTATATTGATTGAAAGTGTTTAATAAAAAAGATGCCTTATAACTTAATATTGTTCAAGATGCTTTTATTTTAAATTGTATTTCATTCCTACCATTACTAGTACTGTAATTAATAAAATCTGAAAACCCTGAAGTCATATTGCTTTCTTACACTTTGATCTTCCTGATAATTGTATGAAACAGAAAAGTTATTTGCAGACTCTGTGCTTTAAAATCTGTGGTACTAGTTGCATGATAAAAGTAACAAGCTAGTCCTTTACAAAACAATGAAAAAAGACAGGAAACTGTTTAATTATCTAGAATTATTTGAAAAATTAAAAGGCATTAAAGGGTTTTAATGATATGAAGTGTTTTACTTGGAAGTTGAGTTGAATATATTATCTTGAGTATCTTTTCCACATATTTAATTCAAAAAAGCCAACTTCAGCTGTATAATTAAATAGACTGGTTGTTTTATCCGTTTTGTTAAATTGAAGTGAATAATACTGAACTATTTTAAAAAGTGAAATCTAAAGAAAGCCAATTAATATAGTTTAGTGGAAAAAAAGAATGTACAATGATATTAATTTGCTTGCTTCCTATTACTGACATTTGATGAAGACCTTGAAGGTTTCAGTTCTTATTCATTAGAGCTCATAGTATTTATTTATAGCATCAAATCCATTTATTCATACAAGGGTACAAATATACAACAAAGAAGGAAAAATGTTGCTTTAAAAACTCTGGAAATGTTTGATATATTAACATATGATTAAGTTTAATTCAGCTTATTTTTTTCTATGAGCCTCTTCATCAATAGCAATTGCAGGAGCTCCACTCTGGGTCCCATTGTCAACTTCACCAGTTCTGTGCTTTGTCTTGTTCTAGCTTGTATTATTTCAATTCATATTCAGTAAGCCAGTTTAGACCCTTGCTGAAGTTAAAAGATAAAAATATTTTTATCTCTTGCTGACAATCACTTATACACAAAATGAAAGTCCATACAAATGAGGAAGAAGAAAACCCCCACTTTGTACATAATGAGAATGACAATAGTGTTCTGACAAAATACAACTACAAGATCTATGCCTGCCATGCATGCTTACCTATGCATGGAGGAAGAGCCACATAATTCATTGGAACTTATTATAAGGTGAGCATGAAAGCATTTCTTTGTTCTTAGCATTTAGCACTAGCTCTTACTGGTGAACTCATTTCTGTTTTAAATAGAAAGTTCAAAATAATTAAGTAGCCTTAGGATCCCTTCACTCCCTTAATTTTCATTGCAGATTACATGGAATACAATTTTTTACTTAAAAACAGGTTGCATTCCAACAGGCTGTTCATCAGTCAATTTTAAAACAATCAGCGTATGTGCAGTGCAGCGTAAACTATTTTTTTCTGTCTTCTAGGTCAGAGGTTCCCAACCCCCAGTCTGTGTACCCACAGTGGTCTTTGGCATGCCAGCAACTGGGCTGTAGAAACAAGCAAAGCATCATCCGTGGGATGCAGGTAGCAAGTGAAACCACGCTCCCTCCGGTCCATGGAAAATCGTCTCCCCCTGGTGCCAAAAGGTTCGGGCGGGGCTGTTCTAGGACCTTCTAGGTTGGATTGGCAGACAGCTTTGTTCATAGCGCTGGAAGTTCATAACTTGAAACTGCAAAAGAGGACTTTATGTAAATAGAACTAACCAGGGCATAGCAGCCTATATGTACTTAGCCAAAGAGTAAGTCTAAATGAATTTAACAGAATTAATATCAAAGTTAGTATGCACAGCTTTGTGCTTGCTGAGGTCAGATTTTCAGTTGGTCTGCTTGTTTGTCTTGATTACACTTTCCTTGTATCTGTACAGAAGGAATGGTTTACATGTTTGTATGTAGATGTGGACCAATTAATTTTGCACATGGAATGTTTTATTAAATATTTATTCTCATGACCTTGTTGATTTTGGAATGAGGCCCTTGGATAGAAATGTACATATTGTAATTATAGGTACATATTGTGTCATGAAGACATTAGTTGGGACAAGAGTATCTGATATTGTTCCACTAATATTTGACAACCATAGTTGACAAGGAAAGAGCTGAAAAGCACCACAAGTTTTTGCATGAACTTATAACCATTTTTGAAATCTTTTTTTGAGATGGAATAATCTTAAAATCAAATTTTTTCATAAATTAATTTACAATAAATTAGAATGGATTCTGACCACATTACCCTAAACTAAACTAAACTACCCAAACTTATTTACTTTGGTGTGCCTGTTCCAAATATATAATTTTTGCAGTTTTCCTTACTATGATGTATCTTTGTATATCATTTTCTTAAACATGTTCAAAACAGGTTACCAATATCATGTCACCTCAATGAACTAGTGTTAACATTTTTATAAATTGTATGTGAGTGTAAGTGAAATGTGTTATGAGTTATACTGCATATATAAAGAGTTAAGGGATTATGAAATGCATTTATTAACCAATATTTGCCTTTTGTTTGTATTAAACATGTGATGTTTGCAAAGGATTTAATCTCCTGACAGTTTTCAAGGTATATTCTTAACACAAAGGCAACTAATACCTTCTGTAGCATACATCAAATACCTTATTGAAGAAAAAGTGCCATGTCCATTTTAAGGTTTTTAAAAATTAAGACTGACTGAATAAAGAATTAAAGTCAATAAATAGAATAAAGTAAAGGGTAAGATTGGCACAAATAAATAGTAAAAAAAGATTGGACATAATGATGAATTAAGAGTTACAGACCATATTTACTGGAGCTATCTGAATGAAATATATTGGAACTTGGGTTTTACTCAGTGGGTTAACAAGTGAAACAGTAAGGTCCAAAAAGTATACCATGTTTTCCCGAAAATAAGCCCTAGCTTGATTTTTACGTGTGGGCCTAATAGAATCCCTACTCACAAAATAAGCACTAGTTAAGACCCTGCCCACTCCAGGGTGCACAGGGTGGGGCGAGCACATGGGTAAAAATCAAGCTAGGGTAGGGATGGTGGGGTGGAGCTGTCCTACTTAACTTCAGACAGTTGCATCCAGGCCTCGCACACCTTGACACCTGCCTTGCTGGCCCACTTCTGCTGCAGCCACATGCCAGAGGTGGGGAGCAACACATGCATGCAGCATCAAGCAGCTGCAGAAGAAGTGGGCCAGCAGCAGGCTCCTGATGGGTGGGGCTGTTGGTGCTGCCACCGCGAGGTGTGTCAATGAAAAATAAGACCTGGTGCCTTTCTTGGTGGTTAAAAAATATAAGACCATGTCTTATTTTGGGGGAAACATGGATAGTAAAATTATTATTTGACAGCTAACCACTAAATGAGTAGAAATTTTTGTGAAGTTTGTGACTCATAGAATATAAGACATGGAAGGCTTATAGATATTTAATCTAACAGCTCCTCAGTGCAGGAATTCCCATTACAGCTTCTCCAAGCTTCTCCAGCTTCTGTTTAAATAATTCCAATGAAGTAATGCAGTAATCTACCTGCTCTTTCATTAATTGTTACTATTCAAAATGTGCAAGTAAACTCTATTCTTCGTAATTCAGTCTTATTATTTCTTGCCCTACCTTCTGTAAAAACTGAACAATTATTCCTTGTCTCTTTTACATACCTGATGACAGCTATCCTGTCTCAGTGTAGCCTTTTCTTTATAGTCTAAACATATTCAATCACCCAACCATTCCTTGTCAGGTTTCTTCCCCTTATAATCTTGGCTTTTTTCACTGGATATTTTCAGTTCATTAATATTTTTCTTAAAATGGTGTAAGAATTGGATGGCGTTATCCGTCTAATACACCATATGGAAGAATTAAGAACAAGCTTTAATTACACATTTCAAGGATAAGCAACAGACTTTTTTTAAAGCAGGAGTTTGGACTACTCAGCTGCTAAGATGTATATCATCAGTTTCATTGCAACCATTGTGTACAAAGTATGAATCAGTATTTAGTTGAGAGAAGGATTATATGAAGTGTGGAAGGTTCATTCAACTTAGAGACACACCTACATCTTTTTCAGACTCACCCAATGTATATTTTGAGGGATTGAAATAGACAAGGTAACCATTTGCCCATAGATGGTGTAATTTCTACAACCTGAGTTAGCACTGGAGGCATAAGAATGAGGTATGGACTAGATTTATGCAATGCATATATAAACTAGTATTAACTATATAATAGTATTCTAGTCCAGAACTTTATGCTTCGTTACAAATTTACTATTTCATTAGTGAAATGATTCACACACGTATCGACGATCAGCTAATCATCTCCTTTTACCAGAAGTAATTAGGACTTGGATGTCTCTTTCACATAAATATCAACTGTATAGTATGGTTACCAGCCATATTTCAGAATGTTTTCAATCAGTGGCTGCCAAAAGTTGTGAAAATGTAAAAGCCATTTTGATAATAGCTTAAAAAATGGCAAAGAGTTTTGAAACAGGTCCACTAAGGGTACCTCATTTTCAAAATCCAACTGCTTTTTTCTGTTTCTGTGTTTGTATTGTCTGTGTGTGTGTATATGTATATGTATGTATGTATGTATGTATATATGTATATATATATATATATGTGTGTATATATGTGTGTATGTATGTATGTATGTATGTATATATGTATATATATATATATATGTGTGTATATATGTGTGTATGTATGTAT